GGGCGCAGATTCTCCGTAGTAAGTATCTGCAGTCCAAGACTTTGTCCCAGGTGACAGTCAGACCAACTGACTCACCATTTTGGAAGGGGCTTATGAGAGTCAAAGCTGCCTTCTTTAATAGGACAAAGTTTATTGTCGGTAATGGCACCAGCACTCGCTTCTGGGAGGATACCTGGCTTGGTGATACACCGTTGGCGTTCCAGTATCCGTCCCTTTATCGTATTGTTCAGCGTCGTGATTCTCTTGTTGCAACGATTTTGCAGTCCAGTCCCCTCAATATTCAGTTTTGGGGAGTGCTTGTTGGTGACCGGTGGGAAGCTTGGCTTCATTTGGTGAGTAGACTGATGGAGGTTCAGCTAGCTCATCAACCCGACCAGTTGTGTTGGAAGCTTACTAGGTCTGGAGAGTTTACAGTCAAGCCGATGTATATCGATCTCATTAACTCTAGAATTATTCCTAGTTCCAAACATGTTTGGAAAGTCAAAGTTCCTTTAAAGATTAAAGTGTTTATGTGGTTTGTGCATAAACAAGTAATTTTAACAAAGGACAATTTGGTAAAACGCAACTAGACAGGATCTACTAGGTGTAGTTTTTGTGATCGGGATGAGACTATCAAGCACCTCTTCTTCGATTGCCCGTTGGCAAGAGTTTTGTGGCGCTCCGTGCAAATTGCCTTTAACATTACTCCTCCAAATTCGGTCAGTACGTTATTTGGAACGTGGCTTGCTGGGATAGAGTCCGAAACAGCTAGACACATTCGTGTAGGAGTTTGTGCATTGTTATGGGCAATTTGGAACTGCCGAAATGATTTGGTTTTTAACAGATCAACAACTATTTATTTTTTGCAGGTTTTATTCCGGGCTACCGCGTTGATCCGTACGTGGTCCTTACTCACTCTGACGGAGGCCAGGGAGCGTTTTGTTACTGGATCTGTCTGGTGGGAGATGGTGGCACGGAATATCTTCAACCGGTTTGGATGGCGGTCATGTAATAGGATAGGCGATTAGTTTACCTATCTTTTGTTATGCCAGCCGGTTGTGGCTTTTGGGCCTTCAGTTCTTGACGTTGTGGCTCTGTGTGAGCCTGCCATTTTTTCTTTTTGCAAAACATTAAGACCTTGTTGAACCTTTTTTGTTCTAATAAATGTGGCCGTATGCATCGTTCTGATGCAGAGGCCGGGGAGTCCCCCCTTTTCAAAAAAAAATCACCTCCCATAGTTTCTGCGTGCTCCAGGTATTAGCAGGATACCGAACGATGCCCCATCGAGATTGCAAAACACCAAAGGCACGCTCGACATCCTTCCTAGCACTCTCTTGCTCTTGGGCAAATCTTTTCCTCTTCTCTCCGACAGGGTTGGGGATTGTTTTGACAATAGTGGTCCACTGAGAATAGATACCGTCATCAAGGTAGTATCCTTTGTCGTAGTTGTGCCCGTTGACAGTAAAGTTCACCGATGGGCTGTTGCCTTCGGCAAGCCTAGCAAACACCAAGGGAAAACCTGTGAAAGAAGTTCCATGTGGACCTTGGACATATAAGAGTTCTGAATTAAATCTCTTTAGAAAGATGATCTTTTATCTCATGGTAGCCTGCTCTAGTCTACTTAAGAAACTTTAGTTATTGGGTTAGCCATACACTTCACATGTTTCTAGTGATTCACATGGCATCATCAAATGATAAAAGTCTTAGATAGCGTGCAGTCCTGGCCGTGGACGAGCACTGTGCCGATCTATGTGTTGTGCATGCCTGTTTGGCTGTACACGACCGACAAGTAGGCCGAGCGACAGGCGACGACGCTGACAGCCTACTAGCAGGCCTTCCTGTGGAGGCAAAATTTCGTGCTTTGACCTTTTTTAAAGTTGATTGAGATCTGATCCTACTTTGAATTTTTTTTAAGATCTGACTTTTTGCTACCGCCAAGATCCATGGCGATAGGATAACACAGCCTACCGCCAAGGTTTTTGACAATAAGACTTAACAGTGTCATCAACCGTTTGAAAAAAAGATATCCTACCGCCAAAGGCCTTGGCGATAGACTATGTTGACAGCGTACCGCCAAAGAGTCTGGCAGTAGACACGACTCCACGAGTGAGCAGCGAACAGCTGCATGCCGGCCACTGTTTCTGAAACAGTGAAGAATTTAGAGGGTGCTTGGATACAAGGGACTATTTTTAGTCTGACTAAAAATAGTGGCTTTTAGAGGCTAAAGTTCCAAGCACCCCTGACTAAAGAGAGGCTAGGACTAGTCTTGAGGCTAAAATCTTTTAGTCATGGGAAACCTACTAAAATATGTATTAGCTCTCTCTCTCCTCATTTAATTCCTCTCCTTAGTTTTGGATTGGAGGGTTTGGAGGATAATAAATGCTCAATAACTAGATTTTAGTTTCTTTAGTACTTGGATCCAAACATGGGTGAGACTAACAAGTTTTAGTCCTACTACTTTTAGTCATGGGACTAAAACATATCCAAGCATGCTCTTAACAAAAAGGCTGCATGCATCTCCTCCTACTCTCTCTCACAGCACACTAGACTCAACGGGCATGCAAGCATCCACCCTGCAAAGGTGCAGCTTTATATGCACTTGCGTGCATGCTAGCTGGTAGCTGCTCTAGCTTTCATTTGCTTTTGTTCTTTTGTTTTTACTACTGTGCAACATGCATGCATCCACTGGCCCCTCCATCCATCCATTAATGCAGCCTGAGATGTCGTACATGCTTACCGCCAGGCTTTTTGGCGGTAGGGTTACATAACCTACCGTCAAGGACCTTGACGGCAGGGTATTTTTTATGTTAAATGGTTGTGACGATGCAGTTAAGTGCTATCGCCAAAGTCCATGATGGTAGGTGGTTATACGCTACCGTCAGACACGCTGGCGGTAGAAAAAAGGATCAGATCTCGAAATTTTTACAAAGTAGGGTTAGATCTCAATCAAATTTTAGAAAAGGATTAAAACATCAAATTTTGCCTCCCGTGGATGGAGGTGCCAGCGTTCGTCAATCTGACCGACAAGGACGACAACGACGACTTCTAGGGCTGCGGGTCTGCTTTTTTCTTTTAAAGTTTTCTTTTCATGTTTTAAGTTTAAATTAATGTAAGTGGACTTTTGCTGGCGCTTTAGATATTAAGTTTATGTTTTCATTTTTTGATTACTTTTTTTTTAAACACCAAGTCTGAAATGCGAGGCGCATATACTTATCACAGATTCAATGTTTAACTGAAAACGAATCAAATCCGCGTCCGTTTGTGTCGGTGAGTTGGAGTTGGCGTGACTGAATGCAACTGAACCAAACACTGCCTCGTGTCATCGACACCTCTTCAGATAATGGAGGGACAAGATCCACTGAAGACAAACGCCACGGATGGCTAGGATTAAAGCTAGCTGTTATCTTCTTACTTTCCAGTTACTTCCTCCGTCTAGGTGTGTAAGTCATCTTACGAAAACCAAATAATCCCAAAACACTTAGGCGCGGTGCATTAAATTTTACCTAGTTTCTTCTTTTTTGACATATCAACCAATAAGAGATGTGGGGTGTGCATGCAGTGATTAGTTCATTGCATGCAATGCTATTAATTAGCAAATGAACATTAAGTTCTCTCGTTTTCTCCTTCTCCTTGGTCACGGTGCACAACCTAAGGCTGGTCACAATGGGGAGGAACTTAGGAGCAACATCACACACTCCAATACAACTTTGCTTATGTGGCACATATTTAATGAAGAGAGAGGTGCTTGTGGTAACTAGCTAAGTTACCGGAACATCACACACTCCAAGAAACAATGAGTCTATAACCTAATAAATACATCTTTGCATGACACTACATAGATGTTTCTACCCACTATGGAGATAGTAACATAGTCTAGGGAAGTGTGTAAGTTACTAGCTTATGTTCTTGCCCGTTGTGACCAGCCTAAGATGACTTACTCACCTAGACGGAGGGAGTACTACTTGTTTTATAAACTTCACTGAGTTCTGTCTACCGCTGTAAATTGAACTGGCCCTTAAAGCCATGGTGCTGGAATGAGAAAAGTAAGAAAAGGAAACCTATTTGCATTAGAGTAATTCTAATTTAGCTAGGGTTCTTCTCTCTCTCCCCTCTCGCGAAAACCACGAACACCAGCGATTCCCGGTCCAAATTCATCTACTCCCAGTGAGCCTAGATTAGCTGCAGAATATTCCTTCCTTTTCCCAGTGAGCCTAGATAGCGCGGGTCGCGGCAAAGAGTAACGCTCTTTTTGTCGGCGGCGGCGGACCAACGTCAAGCTCCACGCTCGTCCTTCCTCAATCCTTCCCGTTTCTTAGTCCTACAGGTTAATCTCTTAAAAGAATACACTTGCTTGTTTGATTTGGGGAATGAATCTATTTTTTTTATCTGCTCTATCTTCAGTTTCAATCACGAGTCTTTTTTTCTTTTTGTTGAATTCGGGCCAGCGCTCCTTAGCCATAGCGTTTCATCGTTTGGCTGTTAGCGTAATCATGGTGGATTAGTTTTATATAGTAACCATGCTCATGCATGAACGGTAACACATGTACAAGACTGATATACTCTGCCGCCTGCAATAATAAAATACAGTACAGTACATGACATCTTCTTGCAGCCTAGTACTAGTAACTATGATTACCTATTTATCTGAGACCTTGCAAGCAGTTTGAGTGTGTTAAGATTGTTCCACCAACCAGGACTACGCATCTCCTCACCACCGAAGATGTATTGTATTTAGAACCGAAATTGGTTTTGTGATGGGGGTGCTCTCTGCTCTGGTCGTAGCAATCAGACAAAGCTTCTCTCTCAGGGTATGTCAAATAAAAAATATTTATGGTCTTTGTTTTGCATTCTTTATTTATTTCTTCTAGAAAATGGCACTGTCTTATCTGCTAGTAGCTGCTTTCAGAGTGCGTGGCTAATTTGTAGTTTTGCACTTTTCCTGCTCCCAGCTGCGCACCATGGACCACCCAGCAAATATGTATCTTCGCATGCTATGATCATCTCTCTCTCTCTCTCTCATGATGATGATGATCCTCTCACCGCGGCAATGGCTGCTGCTGCTACCTCTGGTCTTCCTCTCTACTCTTCTCTTCTCCTACCTGTACACGACCCTATGGCTAAGGCCGGAGAGGCTCAGGCAGAAGCTGAGAAGCCAAGGAGTGAAGGGTCCCAAGCCTTCTTTCCTCTTTGGAAACATACCGGAGATGAGGAGAATCCAGAAACTTGCCACACCTGCTCAAGAAGAGGGAGCAGGGCCTACTGATCGCTTCTCCTCAAATTATGTGGCCACTCTGTTCCCTTACTTCCTCCACTGGACCAGAGTTTATGGTATGTTGACAAACCTGTAGATAGTTTCAGTAAGGAAGGAATTTAGCTTGAATTTGTTTGGTTGCTGAATTCTAGTCTATTCGATGTTTAATAAATATATTTGTAGCTTTTGTTAGTAGAAGTGTTCCTGTAGAAAGAGATATCTATTTTTCTTGCACGGCAGAATTTGTGAGGGGTTCATGGGGAATGCACAATTATAATCACAAAAAAATCGAGGCCTTTTGTAGTTTCAGGATGAGTAGATGGTGCTAGATGCTGAAGCCAGTTATGTTCTTTGATGAGGACCTGTTATCTCCTAGAATTTCGTAGTCGTTTAGATTATGTACTATATAGCGTGTCTCGCCATATGTTGACTAATCTTCACTTTGAGCCATTAACTTAACATAAACTTTGCTTTTAAGAATATTTGTATTTAAGTTCTGCTTAAGTAGACATGTGTATTATTTTACTGTTATGAATCTTTGATTAGACAGCGGGATTTGGCCCGATAACATGGATAAATGGCCTCTGAGCTGCATATTTAAACCTTGCAAGTTGCCGTAAATTTGATGTGTCAGGTTCCATCTACTTGTATGCTACTGGAAGCATACAAACTCTACATGTCATACATCCTGACATGGTGAAGGAGCTGGCCAGTTGCAAGTCTTTGGACCTTGGAAAGCCTAGCTACTTGCAGAAAGAGCATGGAGCTCTTCTTGGTACGGGAATTTTGACGGCGAATGGTGACCTATGGGTACACCAACGGAAGGTCATTGCACCTGAATTCTTCATGGACAAGGTTAAGGTAATTGTGCCTTCACCGTGAGTATTTTTCTTCAGACACGCCTTTTTTTAGGCAAAAATGCTTCAGACAGTGTTTTTTCATGGTGTTGTTCAACAATAATGCTTGCTTAAAAATGATTACTACATGCACCATTAGACTAAACTTGATTGTGGAAATATCCACAGGGAATGGTTAATTTGATGATGGATGCTGCACTATCAATGTTGAATTCATGGGAAGAAAAGGTTGAGTCTGAAGGAGGCAGGGCAGAGATTGTAGTTGATGAGTTCTTGCGGAACTTCTCAGCTGATGTTATATCAAGAGCTTCTTTTGGAAGCAGTTTTGTCGAAGGCAAAGAGATATTTTACAAAATTCGCCAACTTCAGAAAGCGATGGCGAAGCGAAGTATGCTTATTGGTGTTCCTGGAAGTAGGTATGTTCAATGTATTCATATCATCTTTATCTTTATATATGATGTATTTGACATCAACCCCAGAGGCTATTTCACATACTATACCATGATGGCTATGATGGCAGTGGCATTCCATTATTGATTCTTCACAGCTGTGAAACTGTATAGTTTATGCATTTGGGAAGTAGCACGAATTTTCCAATAACATGTATAAGTACTTAAGCTAACAACGGTCAGTACCTGTCTCAGATATTTCGAATTCAGAAAGTTTCCGCCAGTATCAGATTCATTTTAGGGTCACTTCGATATATATGTCCTATTTCCACTTGATTAATTTGAATACAAATCATGTTTATTTTTTTCTAAATGCAATGCTTTACAATTTTCATGCAAGTGCATGTACCATGTTCAATGAAGAGCTGTTAGACAGATAGAAAAGCTACAGGATTGGATATTATGAACTATAACAGTACACTATAGTATATCGAAGTTCAGTGTCACCGATGGACTGTTCTTTTCTAGCCACTACTCCAACATGATTTGACACATGTTTTGCTTTAAAAAAAAGCAGTAGCCCGAGTCGCCCTCGTGCGGTGGCTGGGAGGCCCCAGATCCCATCGCCCCCGACCCCCCCTCTCGTCCTCCTCCTCCCTCGCGGCCGCCCGAGGGCGCGGCCAGGCAAAGCCTTGCCGTCGCCGGCGGCGGCGGGGACTAGGTGCCCTCCCGCTCGAGAGGAGCTGGCGCGGGCCGGCGCCCTCGGGCAAGAGCGTGGCGTGCGGCCGGACGTCACGGCGGGGGCTGGCGGCGCTCCGGCGATCCCATACCCCATGGCAGGCGACTTCAAGATCTGGGACGCCACGGTCGCCAGGGACGGCGGCGTCGTGACCAGATCCGCGGCGGCGCGGCCGGATCTGGGCCCAGGCGTGAGCTTGGTCTCCGGGTCACGGTCGGCGCGATGGCAAGTGCGACATGTCGGCAGCTGGACGGATCTGTGGGACTCCATCCTTGAATGGTCCTTGACAACTCGGGCAACTCCGGGGGAAACCCTAGATCTTCATGGGATCGAGCGATGGCGGTGCTTTTGCGTCATAGTCCCTCTTCAGGGCATCGTTTTGGAGTTTGCTACGGTTGAAGGGACCAGCGAGGCTGGCAGCATATGCCCGGTGGCGCAACTGCTGATGAAAATCGCGCCGACTATGGTCATGGCGGACGATGGCGGCGTCTTTGATGTCGTTTCCTTGTCGAGGCATCGTCGTTGCAGTTGGCGTCATCAGACTCGGGGTGCTCCGGGGGAAACCCTAGATCTGGGACTCCCGGATTGGACGATGATGGCGTTCTTAGTATCGCTTTCCCTCGTGGGGGCATCATTTTGGAGCAAGTGATGGATGGAGGCGACAAGAGGAGGAGCAGTGCTTCATCATACACATTGATGGTGTCGGATCTCGATGGCATGGCGCCATGTAGATTAGTCGTCTGATGTGCGATGATGGATACGCGCAGGAGGTCGACGCTGTCTGGCGTCATGTGGCGTCGGTGGCAGCTAGACCGGGCAAGGTACATGCAGCAGTACAACTCTGAAGATGGATTGGTGGCAGGTGGTTGCGGCTGCCTCATACCCGGCAGGCGTCCTGGTTGAGGAGCACGCCGGACTGGTGGGTGCCCATACCCGGCAGGCGTCTTGGTTGGGACCTCAGGTCTTAGATGTTAGGTTTGGCTGCGAGGTCTATTTGGTATTAGGCCCAGACTATCAGCGCCCCTTCATCATCTGGATAGGAGTAGCAACAGATGTTGCTTAGACGGTGGCTTTAGTCTTATTGTTGTATGACTTTGTAAGGTCTTGTGTTAATAATTAATAAAATGGCTGTATACATCGCCGGGATGCAGAGGCCGGGGTCTTCCTCCTTTTCAATTTTTTTAGAGGAGTACTTATTTTTGATAATAAATATGCTTGAATTTTGCTGCTGCAATAAACAGATATTTACCGACAAAGAGTAACAGAGAGATTTGGAACCTGGGGAGTTGCATCCGTAGCCTCATCTTGGACATAGCCAAGAAGCACGGACAAGATTCAGCGGCCACCCGAAATAAGTTTTTTCTGCACTCCATCATTGAGGGTTCTAAAGCCGCTTCATTCTCTTCGTGCACACCTGAGGATTTCATCGTCGACAACTGCAAGAACATCTACTTCGCGGGACATGAGACAACCTCGAGCACTGCCGCGTGGTGCCTGATGCTTCTTGCGGCGCACCCTGAATGGCAGGATCGCGCTCGGGCGGAAGTCCTTGACGTTTGTCATGGAGAAGCATTAGACTTCGACAAGCTACGCAAATTGAAAACGGTACGTATGATCAAGCCTCCCTCTTGTAAATGAGGTTTTTTTGCGAAACGACTCCTTGGCGATCGATCGCGGGAGCGATCGATTCCGACCGCGCTCGTCGCTCCACCTATTCCCTTTCCCTTTCTAGCCTTTTTCCTTTTCTGGAAAAGCCCAGCCGTGCGCAATTCCCTTTTCCTTTTCCATCCCCTCCTCCTCCGCTGCAGCTGCCCTGCTGCTTCCCCTCCCCCTCCTCGCCGAGGCGCCTCACGAGCGCTGTGCCCGCACGAGCGCCGCGAGGGAGGTGGCTAGTACGACGAGGCGTCGCGCCAGCACTAGCACCGCGAGGTCAAAGGGCAGCAACAGGCAATACGGCGAGGCGCAGCAACCGCACGGGCTCCGCGAGTTCCAGGGCCGGAAGCGGCCAATACGGCGAGGCGGTGCCTGTCTGGCGGCCGTACGGCCTCCGCCGCGTGCGCGACCTTGCTCCTGCGCCTCCTACCCGGGCTGGACCTCCCCCCGTGCGTCGTCCCCACCCGCATCACCAAGCTTCCCAACGGCGTCCGCGACTCCGCGTCGCCTCCGAGGATGTCCAGGTACTACCCACCTCCCCCTCCCCTCTTCCTTCCGATGAGTCCATGGCTGACAGCGGCACCGTCTCCGAGCTCACGAACACCTGGATTTGACAGGGAGCAGCACAGGGATGGCGAATTTGGCCGCTCTGCTCTGATGATGCCGTTAGAGCACAACTTGCTCGTTCTCAGCATGAGGAAGAAGATGATTTAAATGTTTTGGAAGGACTAATCCAGTGAGGATGGTGGACAAGAAAATATAGAAGGAATGTGTATGTCAAAACTGAAGAAAAGCAGACCACCTTGGTGGCTCTGTTCTCACAAAAGAAGATTGTTTACTGTTTCACACAAAATCGGATTTTTGCCAGCAACTCATCCACCTTGGTCTCATCTTTCGTTGACGACCGAGCATCATGTAGCAGTATCTCTGCGAAAATCCATAGAAGTATCGGAACCGGCTGTGGATATGGGAAAAAGAAAATCCCTAAAATGCATCTCTGAAACAATGGCATTTTTTCAGTGAATGAACTAAGGATAGCAGGTGCCACTGTTCCAGATTGTACTAATTCTCTGAAAATTGATTTGTTTTTCTGTAGCAAGTTGTCGTATGAATTTCAAAAAGGAACTATTCTCTGAAAATTGTTTCGTATTTCTGTAGCAATTTATTGTATAGATTCTGAACACTGTTCAAGGAAATCAGCAGCTGCCATTGTTCGGAGAATGAGCTAATTCTCTGAAAATCGTTTTGTTTTTCTGTAGCAAGTTAATGTATGAAATCTGAATTTGTTCAAAGAAATCAGCAGCTGCCCTTATTTTACATCAGTTTACCCCCTCTTAGTAGAAAGGAACAACTCATTTCTCTCGCTACTCCTAATTTTGTGTTTGTGCTTTTGTGCAGGAGGAGGAATTGATTCTCAGACCACAAAAACAACAGAACAACAGGGATGATATTCAGGTTTACATATCTCCATAGGGAATCGGAACCGGCTGTGGATGTGGGAAAAAGAAAATCCCTAAATGCATCTCTGAAACAATGGCATTTTTTCAGTGAATGAACTAAGACTAGCAGTTCATTTTTATTCTGTTGGGGGAATCTATTTTGGACGAAATTCTGAACACTTTTCAATGTGATAGCAGCTGCCACTATCTCAAGAATGTACTATTTCTCTGAAAATCGCTTTGTTTTTCTGTAGCAAGTTGTCATATGAATTCTGACAGCAAACTGTCATTTGTTCAAGAAGGAATTATTTTCTGAATTTTTTTTGTATTTCTGTAGCAATTTATTGTATGAATTCTGAACACTGTGCAAGGAAATCAGCAGCTGCCATTGTTCAGAGAATGAGCTAATTCTCTGAACATCGCTTTGTTTTTCTGTAGCAAGTTAATATATGAAAACTGAATATTGTTCAAAGAAATCAGCAGCTGCCATTATTTTTACATCAGTTTACCCCCTCTTAGTAGAAAGGAACAACTCATTTGTCTTGCTACTCCTAATTTTTTGTTGTGCTTTTCTGTAGGAGGAGAAATTGATTCTCAGATCACAAAGAACCACAGAGCAGCAAGGGTGATATTCAGGTTGACATATCTCCATAGACAATCTAACCTGTACAGGGATGAGTAAGATATGAAAAACTTCAATTGAAAGCACCGCAAAGGTATATAAGCAATGGTAACATCATTTGAAGAACATCCCTTTCCTCTTTTTTGTTCCCTTCAAGCTTCTTTTCTAACTCTGAATTTTCCATATTTTTCATTCTGTGGCAGCCCAAGAATAGTACAATGGGCTCGACATTGGTTGAACATAGGGTTCTTGCATGCAAGTGTATGGCCGGGTAAATAAGTACGTGATTAATATGTTGGGAAAAGCAGTAATGGTCGAGCAAAATGAATAGGATAGACACAATCTTCTCCCACCAAGTTACTGGTCAAGATACTATATCGAATGCGACATTGCTGTAAGTACAAACATAAATATGGGCAGACAATACTCTCTTTTTTCCATTCAATGCTCTGTTCTTTTTTGTGCCCCCCCCCCCCCTTCTGTGCCTTTGATGCATCTTTGATCGGGTCAAATTTATCCAGAAATTATTCCAAAAGGCATTTGAAACTCCAATGGCGTTATCTGTTCACCTGAGGGAGAGAATGATAGGATTCCAGCTTGATCGAATTCACATGGTATTTTTCGTAGTCCAAGAAACAAGCCATACAATTTATAGTCTCCATGCAAGTCCCATGTCTTTT